CCCAGCCATAAAACGTTTCTGTTAGACACGGATACAGAGAGACAGAGGGAGATTAGATCGGACTAGAGAGAGATACTTCGTGTAACTTTTTAAAAATTTATTTCTCTGTGTGCACGTTGGCCTCACCTCCTCCCCAGTAAAAACATAAGCTCTCTGAGGTCAGGCATTATATCTTTTGTTTTTGTAGCCCTAGAGCCTGTCTAACATAGTGCCTGGCATAGAGTGGGTGCTTAATAAACATCATTTGAATTGTACTGAATAGAGGCAGAAGTAAGAGATTCAGGTTGAGACCCTGAGAGTCAAGGCCAGAGAGAAGACAGACATAAAGACTGAAAGAGGCAAAGAGGCTCTAATTAGAGATATACACAAATGTGGGGCAGAACTTTGGGTTTCGCCTGATGTTGTTGATTTGATTGCTACAAGCAATTCCTCCCCAGGTAATGGATAGCAGGGTGAATATATTAGGAAATGAAGGTATAAAAATAAAAGCAGTGTTTTTAAAAATACATCTTAGAAAGATGTCCATTCTCTATCATTTAGTAGTGGTAGATACTGATTCTTAACTATTTGAACACCTATCTACCCATCCATTTGCCTGTCTATTGAAGAACTCTATTATGTAAAGCAAATTTACCAAATTTGTAGAGTCCTCCAAATTATCCCCTAGAATTTAAGTCCCTTGAAAGATAAAAGGCTGGTCTAACTCAGGGGCCCTCGAACCTGCATGTTCAGTCTGCTTTCCCATCACACATTAGATGTAATCCAAAACTGCACAGACTTTTCTAGGTCTCTCTATTTCTGCCTGCACTTCTGTCTCTGTTTCCTTGTGCCTCTGCTCTTCCTTCATCATTTTTTTGAAGGGGGAGGTGGGAAGAAGGGGAGTAAGTTCTCTTCGTATCTCTGTTTCCCTCTCTGGTTTCAGGAGCACAATCATGCCTTTTCCCGCTTGGGGCAAAGCAGAGAAGAGAATGAATGAGAGATAAAGGGGGGGCTGAAAGAGGTTAGGGCTGGGGGGAACTGGAGTGGGAGGGGCAGAGAAAGGGCAGCTGCCCCCAAACATCCATTCTCCTTTATTGCCAGACACTAGAGTTTATTTCCCATTCTTCATTCCTATCTCCCATTTACTGCCTCACTCTTCTAGACCCTACATACACTTAAAAACTCCCCTGCATCCTCCAGAAAGGACCAGATTCCACTAACAAGACCCAGCAAAAAGAGCACAAGACCTGATGTTTGCGGGGGGGGGGGAGGAAGGACCCCAAAACGTTTGTATTTTTCTTCTCGTTTGTCCTTCCTTAAACCCTGGGAAAATATTTCTGGCTAGAAGTCATTAGAACTTGGCCTTGTTCTTCTTTTTTTCCTCTTTGCCCTGTCTTCCCCTCCCTCTAGCTAGCCCCAAAGGAGCTCCATAGTCCAAAATTGAAACTTGAACCTTCCACACGGTTACTGGAGACCCTTCCCACCCCACCCTATGCCACAGCTTTCCTTTTCACTACCTTTTGTCTCTGAGAGCAGGAGGGTAGAAGGGGATTCTTTTCATAACCCCAGAACTAATGCCTCCCCCCCCAACTATTTCTTTCTTCTCTAATTCAAATTTGACACAAATTTTATTTTCAGAATCTCTGAGAGACCGTAGTGTTTCCAAACTTTTCCTTTAAATAAAATCATGATACTAACAGTAGCAATAAAGCTGAATTCCGTCGAGGTGGGAATTCTACCAATTTCTACCAAGAAAATAAGATCAAAGTGAAAGTGCCCCTCACTGGTGTCAAGGCTAAATGAAACAAATTTTCTCTCTTTTTCCTCTGGTTGCTTGCTCTATTCCCCAACCCCAACCCCTGCCCCAAAGCCAAGAGCATAAGGAAGACATACTGAGTCACTTTTTAAAGCTGATAAGTCCAGGGCAAGAGAACTGAGTGTTAATGGAGGAGGTAATAGGGAACAGGGACTATGGGATTAAATGTCTATGGGGAGGGTCTAAGGGCCTTACTGCCTCTGTAAAAGCCAGGGCTAGGGGACTGACTACTGAAGAAATTAGAAAACTGAAAGACTCTTGGTTTTGGAGGCTGAGAGATTGAAAGGAGAGAATTGATGGTTTAGGAAGTTGATGGAGAACAGAAGTTTCAGAGGATCAAAGAGCTGAACACTGAAGGTCTATGGGACTGGGGTTGGGTACTGAGCAACTAAGCGACTAGAAGACTAGTTGACTGAGGGTTTAGGGAGCTGAGAGATTGGGAAAGGAGGGGGGCAGTTCTGAGGGCCTGAAAGTTTAGGAGAAAAAGAGTGAAGGTCTCCAGGCCTGGGAGACTCGAGGTCTAAAAGCTGTGAGAAAAGTACATTGTAAACTGTTGCTATTATAATTATAATTAGTATTATTATTAGGCTGAAGGGTTTGAGGGCTAAAATTCTAAGCAGCTGAGGGCCAAAGAATAAGCCCAGTTCCCTCCCCACCCCCCCAAGAGGCCTGAAGTTGCTATAACAATCTTGTTCTGAGAGGAGGAAAATTCCAGGGCCCTTCCCCCAAAACTAGAGGAGGGAGGGCAGGGATTGATGAAGAAAAAATGTCACTTACCTCTTTTAATTTACAAAAGCCAAACGCCTTGAGTCCCAGAGGAAGTGGTGGGGAAGAAAGAGTCCCAGGAGTCCCGAGGAGTCTACTTCCAAATCCATCAGTGTTGTCATGGAAGGAGGTGGAGTGGAGGGGAGGAGAGAAGACCCAGAATACAATCCACACATATAAAACACCCACAGCAAAATCCATACAAACACACAAAAGACACTGGAACATGCCCATACAGGACACCAATGAATCTTATCCCTACAATCATACAACTACATAAACTGCACGTTTACACCCATCAATGACAAAGAGAGACTAACACCCATGCCCAACTAGCTCTGAAGCTCTTACGGGCACACACATATGCACACACATACTCAGAGCCAGGAGACTCAATCCCTGTGCTTACCAAATAGCCTTCTCCCAAGCTGATTAGGAAAGAGTGTGGCTGGAGGCCGATGCCCGCCACCCACCCAAGTAGAGAAAGCATCCTTTCCCTCTCTTCTTTTCTTCCTTTTCTTCTCTATTTGCTCGGGTTCCTTCAATAGGCCCTCCAGCCAGGCAGCCCCCCAGCCATCGCAGCCCCCCACACTGCCAGACGGGCTGTGGCCAGATGTCAATCACACAATTAAGGAACGAGGGTTTTCAGGTCCCCTCCACTTCACACCGACCCCTCGGCCTCGGTGTGTGCAGGTCTGTGAGTTCATAACACTTCCCCACCCTAAGAACCTACAACTTAGAAACTAGACCTTGAGAACCCAAACCTTCTCTACTACTTATATTCGCCCTTTGGAGCTGAGCAGGGGCGGGGACCCGGCAGGGGCCTGGGATAGGGGCTAGAGAGAGGGAAAGAGAAGGGGGTGGGGGGGAGGCTGGGCCTAGGGATCCTTTGCGCTAGGGGCAGAGGTGGCCAAGAGTTATCTCCCCCTCCCCTAAGAAAGAGTTTGATAAGTCGGGGGGGGGAACACAGGTCTCGGGGGTGGTGGTACTGAATGAAGCACGCCAGATTTGCTGTCTACACGAACCGAAATCTCCTGATTCTCATGAATTCAGCCACCCCGGGCCCCTTCCAGCCGCATAGATAGGCTTTGTGTGTGTTTATAAGTCCAGAGCAAGAGGGCAGAGGTATAGGAAAGCAGGCAGTTGGAGGCTCACCATTCATGAATGCCTCCTTTTCTTTTCTTCACCCCCATCTTCCACGTTCATTACTGCTAAGATTTTTATTTTTCTTTTTCTCTCTTTGTCCCTTCTTTTTCCTGTCCCCCTCTATCTTTTCCCCCCTCGCTATTCACCCTTTCTCCTAAACTCTCTCTTACGGACCCAACTTCTATCCATTCCTTCCCATTCCCTTCCTGTACACACACCACACACACACACACACACACAACACACACACGGTATCTCTCTGTGTCTCTGACGGTCTCTGTGTGTCTCTCTCTCCTTTCCCACCTCTGCCCCCCATCCCAATATTCAAGCTATTGATCTTGGACCAGACCAAACCCAACGCCTCGCTGAGGCCCCAGGAGTGGCACTGGCGGGCTCTAGGCCGATAACTGGGCCGTTTGAGCCCCTCAATTGAACAGTGAGAGAAAGAAAGAAGAGAAAGAAAGAAGAAAGAAAGAAAGAAAGAAGAAAGAAAGAAAGAAAGAGAAAGAAGAAAGAAAGAGAAAGGAAGAAGAAAGAAAGAAAGAAAGAAAGAAGAAAGAAAGAAGAAAAAGAAAGAAAGAAAGAAAGAAAGAAAGAAAGAAAGAAAGAAAGAAAGAAAGAAAGAAAGAAAGAAAGAAAGAAGAGAAAAGAAAGAAAGAAACCATTATGGGAGGGGGATGTCGAACTTGGGAAGTGACTGCTGTCTTCGAACTCTCAGACTTCCCAGGGGTAGAGGAGGAGTGTTCTATCCCATTGAACGTTAACTTTTTCTCTTGCAGCTCTGGACTCCTCCACCTTCTTGGGAGAGGCCGTGGCTTGGGAGTGGAGAGGTCACTTATCATCCCCCTACTTTTTAAAATTAAATAACACTCTGACCCCTAGCCCCTTCCCTGCTTCGGTCCTTGACCTCCAGTCCTATCTCCACTGCCTAGCGTCCCCATCTCCCCTCCCTGTTTGTCTGGCCTATATCCTCGCCCCCCGCCCCAGCCTGATCTCCATCTTTTCATCCTTTCCCCACCATCCTTCCCCCAGACTTCTCCTCCGGTCCCTCCATCCCCGTCTCGCCTATCCTCAGCTTCAAGTGCTCCTGCCAGACCCCTCCCACCAGGTCCCGGAACAGAACGGCGGGCACTCTAGGAGTGAAGACCCGAGTCTCTGGGCTCGTCAGCCGCCCCTCCCTACTGGATCTGCTAATGGGGAGAGAGAGGGAGAGGAGGAGCCGAGGGGAGGTGCAGGCGGGGGTGGGGAGGAGGAGGGGGCGGGGATCTTCTCTCGCTCTATGCTAGCACCAGCCGCCGCGGCTGCTGCCGGCGGCATGGGCGATGGAGGAGCTGAGCAGGGACGCGGCCCCATCGGGTTGGCGGCAGCAGAGCGAATGCGGGAGCTGGGGAGCCGGGCAGAGCTGGGGAGCGCAGGGCGCGCGGGAGACTGGGCCCGTGGCGGGTCAGGAGGAGGAGGAGGAGGAGGCGGTAGCCGCGGGCTCAAGGACGTAGCGGGAACCTCAGCCATCAGCCCTCCAGCCGGATCTAAGGCAACCTGTACTGAGAGCGAGCGCCAGGCTGGAGCCAACGAAGCGGATTATTGCCGCCGGATCCTTGTGCGAGGTAAGGGGAGAGGTAGACTCACAGCTCGCCTGTCCCCAAACACTCTACGTCCTCTCCTCCTCTCATGCGGTCCCCACTCTCAACCTCTTCTACTGCTTAATAACCCTAAACCTATGAAGCCCCCCCACCCTAATTCTTTCTCCCATCCCTATGTTATCTGTCCTTCCCATACCACCCTCTAACCTGCTCTAACTCTCCTCAAATCTGCCACCTTCTTTCCCCACCTTGAATGACCCCAAGTCTAGAAAACCATCGCCAGCCAATCCTATAACCCTCTGACCCGGAGGCATTCTCTTTGTCCAACCCAGATCACTCTTTTCATCTTCTCATCAGCTCCCTAACCCTACTCCAACCTTCCACCGCCTCTCCTCGCTTCTGGTCACACCAGCACCTAAAGGTTTCCCCTCTCGTCTTCATTCTATCTGCACATCCTTTCACCATTCTACCAACCTTCTCTCCCTCCCAAAACTCTACACGGTCTTTTTCAAATTGTATGACCCTAGGCCTTATGAGTTTTCCCACTAGCCCTCTAAACCTCTCCCCGCTAACCCTGTAAGCCTTTCTAAACCCGGCCAGGTCTCTCCTCATCCCCTATCATCACAACTCTTGTGACCCTGACTCTAAAGCCTTCTGATATGCCCCACAAATCCCTCCCAGCTCCATTGCCTCGATACCGAGGTCGCTCCAGCATCAGATATAGGGGAGGCTAACGAGGAGCGGGTGTCCAGGGCTCCCCCAATCCCTGGTTTGGCTCCCCTGTCTTCTCTGTTCTCCCTAGAGAGTCGAGGTCCGAGGTCTAGGGGTTGAGAGCTTTCAGAAATGCTGACTGTTTCCTCCTACTGTCAACGTCCACCCCCTTCCCTGGCCCTGAGCTCACAGCATAGGAAGCTGGGAGTCCCAGACAGCTGGGGTTATTGTGATAGAGGAATCTCTCCTCTCTCTCTCTCTCTCTCTCTCCTCTCTCTCTCTCTTCTCTCTCTCTCTCTCTCTCTCTTCTCTCTCTCTCCTCTCTCTCTCTCTCTCCTCTCCTCTCTCTCTCTCTCTCTCTCTCTCTCTTCTCTCTCCTCTCTCTCTCTCTCACATACACACACACACACACACACACACACATACAGGCGCGCACACACGCACACGCACCCGGCCGGGGTTGTCGCGGAGGAAGAGCGTCACGCAAGCATCACTGGAGGGGTTTCGGGCCGTGGGGAGGGAGGAAGAGGCTGCAGCTGCTTAGATTGCAAAAGGAAAAAAATGTATACTAACCCCCCCACCCCATTCTCCGGCCCACCACCGCCCTCCATTCCCAGGCCTGCCCGGTCTTCAGTCTACAGGGGCTGGGACCCCAGCTCTGTTCAGGCTCGGGCTCGGCTTCCAGAGCCCAGGCCCACTCCGTCTTCAGGCAGTCAGGGATTTTGGTTGTAGCTAGAGATATCAATTGAGCAAAAATAAAACAACCCAAAAAAAACCACCCTCATTCTTTCCTTTCTCTCCGCTCGCTCTCTTCAGCCGCTCTTTCTTTCTCGCACTTTTGATTCTTCCCGGCATCTTCTCCATCTCTTTTTTCTTTTTTTCTTTCTTTCTCGATCTCTTTCCTCCTCTTCATATCTCATCTCCTCGGTTCCTGGTTTCTTTTCCTTCCCTTTCCTCTCCTTCCTCACTGTATCTCGGTTTCTGTCTCCATCAGTCCCCCCTCTTTCTCTCCTTCTCTGCCCCTCCCTCTTATCCCCCAATTCGGGATGCAAAGAGAAGAAGTCCATGCAATGACCCAAACCCTCTTCCAACACCTCTGGGCGAATCTCACCCGTCCACCCCCTCCGAGTCCAGCAATGGAAGGCGCTCGGGTGCCCCTCCCAGCCAGAGGTGGGGGGTTGAAGGAACCACAGTTAGCTTAAGCGCGGAAGGTGGGGGAAGTTGAGAGCCGAGTAGAAACAAGTGTAAAGACCTTTTCTCACCCCTTTTAACACCTGATGAAGTCCCACAGGTCAGACCCTCCTTTATTCAACTAAAAAAAAAAAAAAACACCTCCCAACCAACCGTTGCCGAATGAAATTTCGGCTCTCACGGACTTTCTCTCTGATCCACGCCATCTGTGCCAGACTTGACGTTCTGTTTTGTCTTTTCTATCTGTCTCTTTTCTGTTGGACTCTTCCGCTCTCTTCCTAATCATTTCCTCTCTCCCTTGCTTCTATTCCTTTTTTTCCTTTCTATTTTCTCTTCTGTGCTGTTTCTTTACTTTTTTCTCTTCTCTTTAATTTCCTCCTCTCTTTTTCATTTTGTCTCTTTTTCTTTCTCCTCCTTCTCTCCACGTTTTTATTTTTCACCCACTGCCCCCCCCCACCCTCTCGGTTAAGTGCTAGCTCCCGCTCTCGGATGCCTGGATTTCTTTGGAAGGCTCCGAGGCCTCTTCTGCCCATCAGTCTCTGGCTATTTTTTTTCCCTTGCTTCTCCCTTTCCCCACCTCACTCTAACCCCCTGAGGCCCATCCGTGCCTAGGCTGTGAGTCCCAAGAGGAGGAAAGATTAAGGGGACGGGTGGGTAATTGGGATTGGCTTGGGCCAAATAGTGGGTAGATTGAAGTCCTGGGGAGAAAACCACGCCAGCCTGCCGTACCACGTTTGTCCCAAACGGGACGTGGACTGCTTAAATGAAATCCTCGGCCACGTATATTTGCACAAACAGGCCTGGGGATCCGGAGAAGGGGGCGTCGAAGGGGGGTGGAGAAGAAATGAGAAGCGTGTGGATGTGTACCTCAGAATTTGGTGTGTAGCCTAAATTTAGATATAATTCCTGGGTTCAGAGGTAAGAAAGCATTACTTTGTATTACATCTTAGACCAAATGCACCTAGAGATAGTCTACATTTATATTTATTTTAAAATAATGGAATACATAATATACATGGAATTATCCTAAATTTTCTACTCATACTTAATATAATAACGTCCCATTTCGGAAAATGCGGGAAAAGCCCAATGATCAATTCTTTGCCAAATAACAAAGTCACAATCTCTCCAATCCGGGGCTGCCCGCTCCCTTCGTTTGGGAGCCAGACAGATTAGATTGGAGATAAAGATGGAGAGATGCATGGATAGAGAGAGTGATAAGTTGGTTAATAGTAGATGAACAGGCAACTAAAATGGATGGGTAGATAAATAGAGATGGATGGCTCCATAGCCATAGGATGGAGAGAGAGAGAGAGAGAGAGAGAGAGAGAGAGAGAGAGAGAGAGAGAGAGAGAGAGAGAGAGAGACTTGTGGATGGATGAATAAAGTGTTTAAATAGCTAGATGGAAGGATAGACATAAAAGGTCTTACCCATGGGGAATTCAAGGGAAGGAGGGAGATATGGTGTGACCCATAGACCACAAGATAAATATAGGAAAGGATAGGTGGATGGAGATAAGACAGCACTAGAAGTGGGTAATCCTTAAAGCTCTGTTTCTCCCTTACTCTCCTCCCACAAACACAATCTCAATGAAGAAAGCTAGAGGTCTTACTCCAAGGTGCTGTTCCTGAGGTCAGAGGGACCTACTGAGGTGGGTGGCAAAGGTTTCATTTCTCCAGCCCAGGACTGCAGATTTCCAACATTGAGCCCCAGGGAAATAGGGTCATTAGATTCTGGGAGGCTGATGCATCAGACCTCTAAAGAACCAGGAATTCAGTACCCAAGTTGCCTTCTTAAGCAACTGCATTTCACAGGCTTCCCCATGGCAATCCACAGGCCTTCATACCTTCACAGACACTCACAGACACATTGTTTGTGGGTGGTCACATGTGAGTGAATGTGTCCCTTCATAAACATGAGTTAGTATGGGTGCATCCAGAGAGACGAAGGGAGTAATATGAAAGAGAGGAGCTGTCTTTTGGAAGGATTCAGGTCTTCACACAGAAATGTGTAGCACAAGATGGACATCAGCTCAGACAATCAGAATTCTCATGAGTTGTGTAGGGGCCCCACTCACCCTAGATGGTATATAGAAAGACAGATAGGACATATGTCTAAACAATATTCCTATGTACAGAGATGCACACTTTGTGTGTCTATGCACAATATTCACAAGTACACAAACACCACAGTGCATCTAGAGATCTAAAAACTGTATATATGTATATATAAAGGACACAGAACTCTGTTTAGATAAGTGCTATGGATGCGATATTTTTGTTTGTTTTTATTTCATTAGTATAGGGATCTCTTGGTGACAAAGTCCTCATCAATTATAAATCAGCAACCGGCTATACAATTTATTATCTTAGAGTTGCCTGGGGTAACTTTATTATCTTAAATTATGCAGCTACTCTGGTGGCAATGGATAGCACACCATGCCTAGAGTCAAGAAGACCTGAGTTTAAATCTGGCTGCAAACTTACTAGCAATGTGACTCTGGGCAAATCCCTTAACCAGTTTTCTGGTCTGAAAAATAGGGATAATAATAGCACCTACCTCCCAGAGTTTTTGTAAGGATCAAATGAGATAATATTTGCAAAATCCTTAGCACAGTAACTGGTTAGTTGTTGCTACATAAATATTAGCATTTGTTATTATTATTATAAAATGATTTGCTATATATATTATTAGACTTGCCTGATTAAGTGACTTGCCCAGGGTTACATACCTAGTATTTATCAAAGGCAGATTTGGACTCTGTGGGTGGTTCTCTGTCCATTATAAAATGATGTAAATATACATGTCTCTATGGCACAATTGGATAGATACCCATTAAGATATCCAAGCACCTAGTCCACTCAGTAACTGGACCTGTGATGGGCCAGCATTTTCTCTACAACTTAAAGTCTTAGAGAATTATGAGAATTAAGTTACTTGCCCAGGGTCACACAGCCAGCATCAGCTTCTGAGATCAGCTCTCTCTCCTCTATGACATATTGCCGTCATGTCTCTAAAGACACATATATTTATGTGTCATATAATTTGTATTATGGGAAATAAAGACAGAAAAAGAGGAGACATTTATATAATGCTTCAGATTTTGTAAAGTGGCTGCAAA